CCTGACGTGAGCGTTAACAGGAAACAGTTTTCAGGTAACCAATCAGAGCGCGTTACCTCGACTGAGCGTCTCCACCTGTTGGCGGCTTTCTTCCAGACCTTTCTCCTTCTCATCCAAGACTCGCTGCAGCTCTGACACACAAACAACATCATCAGCCAATCAGCTGAGAGCAGCAGCCAGCTGACCGTCCCCTTTGGCTCATCTGATTGGTTACTTACCTCCCACCTCCATCTCCCGCTGCCTCCTCCTCTCCTCGCTGTCCTGAAATGCTGCTTGTAGGGCGTCGCCTTCTGAATCGAGCTCCGCCCTCAGGCTCTCCAGCTGGTGGGAGAATTCTGCTCTCTGATTGGCCAGCTCCTCTCTGAGCTCAGCGCACCTGTTCTCACTGCAGGAGGAGAAGAACAGTTTCAACCTCTGTTTATGGATCGATAAAACCTGATTGGTGGCAATATCGATCACCTGAGCGTAAGCTCCGCCTCCAGCCGCCACTTGTCTGTCTGCAGCTCTTCGATCTGTTGGGATTTCTGAGCAGAGCGCTGGAGCGCCGCCTCGCTCTCCTTCTTCAGCTCCTCCATGGCGGCGTGGAAAACGCTGCTGCTCTGCCCCTCCTCCTCCTGAACACATCAGCCAGTGAGTCATCATGAACACGATCCAGGATCAACCAACCGGCTTTCACAAAAAAAAGAGAACCTTCACTTCCTGTCGAAGGCGCTCCAGTTCCTGTGTCAGACTGCTGATGGAGTTGTTCTTCTCCTCTGACTGGTGCTCCAGGTCGTGGAGGCGGGTCTTTGTGGCTTTGAACTGCTCTGATAGGCTGTCCGATCTGTCAGTCTGCTGTTTGAGCTGCACCTGCAGGCTGGTCACCTGGAGGGATGCAAAGACCGTCAGCAGAAGAAGAAGCAGCAGAAAAAGAAGGAGGAGGAAAAGGAGAAGCAGAAGACCTCCGTCTGCAGCTGGAAGATCCCGTTCACCAGAGCTTTGTTCTCCTTCTGCAGTCTGGACGCCTCCCTCTGCTCCGCCTCCAGAGACACCAACACAGTGTCACAGTTTGGACACTCGTCCAGGTCTACAGCAGGACAGAAAGGGGAGGAGTCAGGAGAGGAGACAAAGTGAGATAAGTTCAGTGTTTCTCTGTGATGAACAAAAGTACGTGGACGTGTGTGCTGCATATGCTGATGTTCCCGTCTACATACTTTTGAGCGCCAGCAGCTGCTCCTCCAGCAGCACCTGCTCCTTTTTCAGCCCCTCCACCTCCGCCACCCGGCTCCTCAGCTCCTCCTCCAGCCTCGCCTTCTCTTGCTGCAGCTCCTCCTCCCTCCCTCTGAGCCCCACGATGGCCTCGTTCTTTCTGTCATTTTCCTCCTGCAGCCTCCAGATCTCCTCCTCCAGGACCACTGAGGAGGAACATGATGATAGGAGCATGAAGGTTCAGCACAAGCTCTCCATGTTCCCCTCCTCCTCTCCCCTCACCTCTCCTGTTTGCTCCTCGCTGCTTCTCATCCTCCACAGGGTCAGGCTGATGTTTCCTGCTCCCCTCCTCCTCCTGTCCTCTCCTCGTGCAGCCGCAGGTCTGCTGAAGCTCCAGCAGCTGCGACCGTATTGACTCCACCAGCTGCTTCTGCACGAAAGAACACCGCGTTAGGCCTCAGTGGGAATCGACCTGGAAACCATGAACAGAGCCCACTCACGTCTCGGGTGGCGTCCTCCACGGCATCGTCCATGGCTGCCCGGAGCCTGGAAAGGGCGCCGTCCTTCTGCCGACACAACTCCATCAGTTTCGACACCTCCTGCTGCTGCTGCTCCAGACGCTGGAGGAGAACACGAGGAGAAGAGTTAGTGGAGCAGAGCCGAGTGAGAGCAGGAGCCAGGACACCACAGGAGGAGGACGCTCGGGTACCTTCTCGGCTTCTTGCAGTTGGTCACGTGACTGCTGGCTATCCAGTCGCAGCGCCTCCAGCTCTGCAGGGACAAGTCAGAGTGACCTCAGCGAGAAGTGTGCACGTGTGTGTGCACGTTACAGTCAAAGGGCCGCGACCCCTCGGCGACTCTTCAGACACTTAGACAAGTGTCTTTAACAAACAGCGAGGGCTGTTTTACACTGCACGGCGAACACGCTACAATAACCACATGACCGCCTATGAGCACGCGCTGTGGCGACAGTGGGACGGAACAAGTCCCGTTAAACAGGAAGAAAGCTGAAGCAGAACCAGGGAGGAAGACGGGACAAAGACGGGCTGAGAGCTAGAGACTAAGAACAACTAATGATTAAAGATGGAGGCCTGACGGCTCCACCCAACTTTAATCATTAAGTACTAATTTCACCTGCTCGCGTCCTCTTTAAACCCCGCCCCCTGGTCCTGTGCTGTGTGTGTGGTACCTGTGCTGTGTGTGTGGTACCTGTGCTGTGTGTGTGCTCGGTCAGACAGCGGTGGACACTCTGAGCGTCCTCTCTGATCTTCTCCAGGTCTTGACTCATGGAGCTGATGATTCCCTCCAGCAGCACCACCTGCTCCTCCTAACAGTCGATCACGATCAATACTGAGTAATGGATCCTGTCTGTGTGTGTGTGTGTCTGTGTGTCTGTGTGTGTGTGTGTCTGTGTGTGT